TGTGCGGGACGTTCGAGTGTGCGGGACGTTCGAGTGTGCGGGACGTTCGAGTGTGCGGGACGTTCGAGATATTGCAATCAATTTATTAAGGGTTTGCAATTTTCGAAGTCCTGGTGTGTAATTTAAAGACGCATTAACGTCAAAACAGCCCCGCCTGCCCTTGCGCGTGTGCTTAAACCTGCCCGTCCCGCGCGAGCCGCCCTCCCCGCCTGCGGCGCTGCCTGGCGGAGGGCGGGGGAGGCTATCGGTGTCGCCGACGCCCGAGGCGCCATCTGCCCGGGGCGAACGTGAGGGCAGCGGCCTAATTGTTAATTAGAGCTCGTTAGGCGCCATCGCGCTGATACTGCCCGCACCCAGGGGTGCCAACGGTGGGGCTCTTTGGCTGCACATGCACGGCGTGTTTAATGTCAATAAATACTCTGCTCCAAAATTGAAACGACGAAGAATATACAAGCACGAGATCTGTGATTGATTTGTGATTTTGGGCGCGTCAAGTGTTGAGGTCAATTGTAATGTACGTTTAGTTAATATTTTATCATGGGAAGAGGCTGTGTTCTTCCCCCGTTGGATGGTGAGATCCGGCGCCGATCTACACGTAGGATTAAAATGGATGTTTTTATCCATCCAGGTATCTCCCACCACCAAAACAGTGTCACATCCGGGAATATCTATTATCTATCGACGGGTCTCTCGATATGTGTGGAAGTGTGGTGCATGGAAGTGTGTATAAGTAAGGGATGAGGTGAAGTTAAGAAAAAGGAGGGAAAGATTGCGGTCCATGGCCCGTTTGTTAACGTATTACTCCGGTATTCGCCTGATGTTCATCGAAGAACTACCATACAGAAACAGGGAAACCATACAGATCAGCCAGCCGCTAGAATTCTCCAGTGACTGCATTCACGTAGCTATAAGGTCAATGTCGAAAATCCGCCACCGTCATGAGTGGAACACTAGGACCTCCAGGTCAGAGGCACTGCAGTGACATCAATTGATGACTTGAGGTGTATTAGCCAGTAAGAGCTCTGCTGGAATTACAGAGAGAAATGAATTTTCACAACAAGATCGGAAAACATCTACTCGCTCGTTAAGAATGGTACCCAGTTCAACTTTCTGTGACAAAAAAATCGTAAGGTTTGTATCTTTTATTCTAATGACAATAATAAAACGCGAACAAATGTTTGAGTCTTCAACAAATAGATATGGTGTTTACGTATTTTCGGCGCGGAGTGTGGTTTTCGCGTGTGTAGGCGTGAGCGTGACAGTCACTTTGCTTTGTCATTTACAGTAGTGTAGAGCTAGAGAAGTCAGCTACGTTGCTGCTGAGCTACGATGATTGTGGAGTAGTGAGAAACTCGCGGAGCACTGCCAGGACCTGGGAAAGCGACAATAAAAATATCCTCGGAATAAAAGGGAAAATATTAATAAGAGCTGGGTCACGTAGCGGTTACGGTGGCAGTCGCGAGCTGTTGGGTCAGCAGTTTCGTATTCCGACATTGTTATTTGCTTCTATAACGTGGCCTTTTGGCGCCTATTTAAACAACTGTGCAACAAATTCAACTTCCTATTTCTTCCCAGACCTCTCCCTCTCCGGATATTGTGTGAATATGAGGTATGTCGGTGACTGCCTGGGTGCCAGAGGAATAAGCTCCCAAACGCAAGGACGAGTCTGTCTGTGAGCACCACCTGGCCACCGGGAGAGGTGGCTCAGGGCATCAACTGATGACACCGCAGTGCCTCGGGCTGGTATAGGGACTCGAGCTGCGACGGTAGCTCGATTCTAGCTACTTAGCTTGATCGTATTCATTCGCTATCTGTACGAGAATTCTTGCGGTCGGCTGCTGTGATCGGTACTTTTCCGTGGTTTCTCCGATCAACACCAGGCGAATGACTGAGCAGTACCCTAACAAAAGGGCCACGGACCGCGCGCGATCATTTCTACCTTTTCCTTGTCCTATCCTCATCCCTTACTTACACACACCTACACTAAGATGCACTACACTACCACATATGTCGGGAGCCTAGAGCTTGTCTCGTCTGGGGCAGAGTCCCGCTCGTGGGAGATACGTTGGGGAAAAACCCGCTAGACGACTTGTAGGCTGGTACCGGATATTACCATCTAACGGGAGAACATCACCGCTACGTCGCGCGATAAAAAACGTGTACAAAACTTTCGGGACTAATGACGACGCGCCCGGAATTATCAAAAAATTATTCAAGCCACCTGGCCGCCACAACACCTCCCTTCCAGTAATAGAAGCATGTCCCGTTTACAACCGACAAGAGACTATTCTAAGCCGCAATTTGCCTACGGCTCTCAGAGGCTTGATGCAGAGGTGTTAAGTTTTTCTACAGTGTAACGAGGTAGTGGAGTTTACCTGAAGATAGGAAACGTCACCTCATAATTAAATATTAAACTGACGTAAAATGTTTAACGATCTACTTAGTTAAGATTCATTCATGAATTCACGATATCTGTTCACTTGACTGGCTGTGTTAAGCTAAATGCATTGCCACTGTATCTGCTGGGATTCTGACCGCAAGGTCCTAGATTTCGAGACCCGATATATATTTCGCAACCGCAATCGTCGGAACTCTACTCGGTAACTCGGTAGGGAAATTCTTCCCGAGACGGCGTGTAGGACGGTGCCGCTATCACCATATTTAACTGGAGGAACCAAGCCAACTCCCAATATAAAACATCCAGTACACTAAGGGAACGAATGACCATAGCAGTTCACGTGACCGGAAATTTCAAATTACATGGATTCAGAATACGCTCTGAATTTTACAAAAGGTCACTTAGATGAAAATTCCAACCGAAAAGAATGCTGTAAGTCGAAAACGTAGGCGAAAAAAAGAACGCGAGAGCTAGTGGTGCCTGGAATGGGAGACACAAAAACTGACCTAGATTTGACGTAAACAAACTCTATGATGTCTTGTTTCACGAGGAGAGGCTTAGACCACCAGGCTCTTACGCCTGACCACGAAAGTTGGCCTTCGCGCGTTTCGCCATTTAGAAGATAAAGCGGGGATTACTCGGGCGAGGAAACGGGCTATTATAATTGCTATTTAGCTTATTTAGCTTAGAGTCTTTTATAGCTATTATTTAGCTTAGAGTCTTTCTTTAGGTTTGAGTATCTTTTACATGCAGTAAATCTACAGCATGGGACAGCCGGCTTTACGTCCTCTCCGAAGGATGGTAGGAAGAATTTTTTCACTCTAAAAGTCCACGTAGTTGATGGTATTTGAACCTTGTAACTCGGGTAGAAATATCCCGTACACTATTAGACCCACATCAGGCGGGTATACAGTGTCTATTAGCCGCCAAATCGTCCATGAATCAAGTAAAGGCATCGTGGAAAGGCGATACAAAAGAGGCCAGCTTCAATATGAATATAGACGGTAGCATGACAATATCGCTTGACGAATGTGAACATTGTATACGAATTATGTTGGCATATGGCGCCGTGAGAAAGACGTTCTTCAGACACTCTTGATTTTTCGCTGTCCACGTTAACATAAACGTTTTCCACGTTAACGTCTGCGTTTAATTTTCATATAAAAGTGTAAGCCTGATGAACATACATTTTTTTATCTTTAAAAAGGTGTTTTATTTCATACACATGACATTTCGGCCCTTAAACCGGGTCTGCTTCAGGTATGATATTATAGAGTATCACAACAGGCTCTTGCAACACGAGTTAGAATTGTTTTCTTGTAACCTTGCAACCATTCCGTGTAACCATTACAGTCATTTTACTCCTTTTTGTAACAATTGTATTGAAAAGAATGATAATTAAATCTAAATTTTTGACTGCTTCGCATTTCTTTACAAAAAATGTACGGCCTTGTTCTAATCAGTGAGTACCTATTTTTACATCTTCTGTACTCATACTATTTCCTATTATACAGAAATTTGTGTAGTGATACAGCAAAATGGGAT